ATATATATCCAAATATTTGTGTATCATATTTCGAAATACATTTGCCACATGCAAATCATTGAAGTGCAACAAAAGCGATGTGGCAAGCAGTGTATTTCAGTTTCGGTTAAGAGCTCTCACACAACTCGAATCTGGCAGATTGCGGCACAAACATTAAATACCAAAATATGTTAACGACGCTGGACCAGGGATTAGGTTGCCGCCCGTGGGGACAGGGCTCTGGCCTTAGCCATCGCACACCAGCTAAAGCCAGCTAAAGTGGCAACATGCAATCGCTGCTGCGGGTTGCAGCTTGTTGTTGTTGTTGTTGCTGTTGCTGTTGTTATTGTTGTTGATTGGCCGCCACCGCCTGCCCCTGCCACGCGAAAGTGATGCAATGGCGCGGAAAACAGGCGCTGATTGCCACACACTCCACTCTATGTAGGCGCAGGTGTATGTGTGTGTCTCTCTCTCTCTCTCTCTCGATTTCGTATGCATTTAGCCGGGAGGCGGCAGGCAACAAACCTGGCAACTGCCCCGCTCTGCTGCATTCAATTACAAACGAATGCAGGCGCCGCAAAATGAAAAGAAAATTGGAAATGCTTTGCGCTGTTCCAATTGGAATTTATGTGTGTATGTGTGTGTGCCTGGTGTGTGTCTATGGTAACAGCTTTTGGCCGTATGCTAATGCCAATGGAATTCTGACTAGCCAAAAAAACACATATATATACATAGAGAGAGAGAGAGAGAGAGAGAGAGAGAGAGAGAGAAACGAGCTAGCTCGAATAAAAGTGAAATTTTTGTGGTCGCTACAGGGCAGGGTCCAAGCCGGGCCCTACCGAAACAGTTAAATAGATTACGGTATTGAAAAGCGTTCGAACACAAAATAAACGCCAGCTCATGAATAATAAGCAGACAGGTGGCTAGCAACAGGTGATCAGGTTCAAGAGTTAGAAAAGTTGAGATAAAAACAACAAAACTGTTCCTAACGGTAGCGTGTTCTAATTTCATTAGAGTTTTCATTGCAGAGGCTGTCAGAGAGCGAGAGACAGAGAGAGAGAGAGAGAGAGAGAGAGAGAGAGAGAGAGTGAGGCACATTAATTTGATTTAATTGCAAACTCGATTTTATTCGTGGAGGAACTCTTCGTTCTAAAAACCGCAAGCAATTCAAGCTGCAAGTCACGTAGGCAGCGCGAGCAAACGCTCAATTGCTTTGACTACCAAATAAAACGAATTGGAACAGCTAACAGCAGCATGCCGACCTTTAAATACTCTTTAAGGGAGAATGAAGCTTGCTGGAGCTGAGTCCAAGTCCAAGTTATCTTACCCAGATCTACCTGAAACTATGATCTAAATCAAAACTCATTCATATAATTGACATTATTTAAAAGAAATTTAAATTTCTACACTTTTGCCTTAATAGCATGAAAATGATAATAATAAAATAAACGAGAAAGAAGTGCTATCTTCGGCACACCGAAGATTTAATACCCTTGCAGACCCAACCTTTTCAAAATGCTCATAGTGCTTTGCCCGTATCTAAGAAGCACAGGGAAAATAGTTAATGCCGAGTATGTTTAAGATATCTTGAAAAACAAAACAGGTTTCCATACAACAACTTAATTTTCGACCGATCGTTCCTATGGCAGCTATATGATATAGTTGCCCGATGTGAATAAGATTTTGCATAAGTGGAGGGAGCATAGTAAAACTAATAAATGCCGAGTTTGGTCAAGATATCTTGAAAAACAAAAAAATTCCATACAACAGCATAATTTTCGACTGATCGTTCCTATGGCAGCTATATGATATAGTTGTCCGATCTTAATAGAATTTTGCATATATATGGGGACCGTAGTAAAACTAATAAATACCGAGTTTGGTTAAGATATCTTGAAAAACAAAACAGGTTTCCATACAAAAACTTAATTTTCGACCGATCTTTCCTATGGCAGCTATATGATATAGTGGTCCGATCTTAATAGGATTTTGCATATATATGGGGAGCCTAGTAAAACTAATAAATACCGAGTTTGGTCAAGATATCTTGAAAAACATAAAAATGTTCCATACAAAAACTTAATTTTCGACCGATCGTTCCTATGGCAGCTATATGATATAGTTGCCCGATCTTAATAGGATTTTGCATATATATGGGGAGCGTAGTAAAACTAATAAATACAAAGTTTAGTCAAGATAACTTTATAAACAAAAATGTTTTTCATACAAGAACCTACTTTTCGACCGATCGTTCCTATGGCAGCTATATGATATAGTGGTCCGATCCAGCTGGTTTTGACATATGAGCTGCGTGCAACAGAAAGAGGGAATTCTGCAAAGTTTCATAAAGATAGCTTTAAAACTGAGAGACTAGTTCGCATAGAAACAGACAGACGGACAGACGGACAGACGGACATGGCTATATCAACTCGGCTGTTGATACTGATCAAGAATATATATACTTTATGGGGTCGGAGATGTCTCCTTCTATGCGTTACACATTTCACGACAAAATTATAATACCCTCTGCAAGGGTATAAAAACTCTTAGACTAGTTTACATGGAAACAGTCTTGATCCTTCCACTCCTTTATTCTTCCATTAATATTTATTAACTCTTTGTCTAAACTTGAGGCTAAGGAATAGAAATTAACTTTCATTAATATTTGTCTATTTGAGATCTTTAAATGCTGCCAAACTGCGTAGCTAAGCTCTAGATAAAGTTGTAGAGCATATTAAGTAAACATTCTGCGTTTTCCTTATATAATTCCCCAATATCCGCTGATAACTCCGAATTTCGCAGCTGTGCGTGCCTAAACACAGGCCTAATCGATTTGAGAGACTAAGACGAACCTACATACCTAATTTGCTAACTCTAGCTATCAGAGTCTTCGAGATAATGAAGATTGAGCAAAATAGCTGCTTTTAATCATTATTTTATTTAAAGATACTTTCTGTCTGTTGCTCGATTATGCTCCTTTTGTGAATAGAAAATATGACAGGCGGCTTTTCGTTACGCAATGTGCACACTGTACAGTGCATTCTCTTTTTCCTTTATTTAACTATTTGCTTTTTTCTGTTCATTATGAATGCATTATTCAATGCAAAAATCTGCATTGTCCAGCGCGGCTTTGGCAGCAAATTAAAACAGTCTATAGGCAAAGTGTTTCCCCATAAAATCCATTTGCCATTTGTGTGTGAAAAGAGATCGCAAATAGCCAAATACTTTGACTGATTGCTGCTAACTGAAAGTGTTGCCAAGCGTTGAGGCTGTGCTCGGGCTCGTAGCTGCGTAGCCAGGTACAGAAATGAATAGCACGATCAAAGCAAATATTTCGATTTGCCAGCCAGGCTCTGGGCCCTAAGAGCCAGACTAGACAAACTTTGGCATTATTTGCTTGCCAAAGCCCATCAAATTTGTCTCACATCTGGGCTAAGTCCACCAACAAAGTCAAAGGTAAACACGATTTGGAAACAATTTAGTTGACATTTGGCTTTAAGCAATGAAAATGTAATCAACTTTGTTTAGCTGAAATATTAATCAATCTTGTATATTCGTAGCTTTGGTATAAAGATATATAATCATAACAAATATCAATACTATCATGGTGGATACGTTTATTTTAGGCAAAAGTGATCCAGTCGGGAGTGCCCGACTAGAAGATACCCTGAGCCTTCTTCCACCAACACCAAATGCAATTCGCGGCGGGGAGATGGATAAAAACTTTAAAAAAACTTTATCTGCATATACTATTCTGGAAGCTACCTGTCAAATGTGTTGACTATAGCTCAAACAGAACTCGATATCGATTTTTATCGATTGCCTGGAAACGGGGCACTAGGACGACCTTTTTTCAAAATCGAAAGTCTCTAGCTCTTAAAGGTTCTAAGATCCTTGCGATCATACATACGGACAGACAGACAGACGGACAGACAAACAGACGGACATGGCTATTGATGCTGATCAAGAATATATATATTTTACGGGGTCGGCGATGCTTCCTTCTGCCTGTTCCATACATTTGCACAAAAACATGATACCCTTTCTTCTCACATTCAAAGGGATTAGGGTATAAAAATATGACTTTCCGATTCTAGAAAAAAGAGGCTTATCCAAAATGTGAACTATTAAACTTTTTTTTATACTAAACCTTAACCTACATACCAAGTTTTATGTATCTAGGTTTATTAATTCTCGAGTTATAACTCGAGTATATATTTATATATATTGCTCGAGGTTATGCTAACCTTCGCAAACCACATCTCGAAATCGATATTAATCGAAATCATTAGAAATGGGTGTATCGAAATAGGATTAACGCGTTCTACTTATGGCTTAGTATAATATAATTGTTAAGCTTCAAGTCTGTTGTTGTTCCACTATCGGAGATAGATGCGTTTGCACGGATCAAGATCAAGAATATATGTATATGCCCTACGGGCTCAGATATGCTTCCTTCCGCCGATTCGGCTGATTTTGGCTTATGATAAAGAATAGTTTGGGATTCCCGCTGCGAACCGGCTTGCAGCCTTGGTTTGGCTAGCCAGAAATAAACGTTGTTTTACTCGGACACGCATCCAATGAGAAAAAGGTCTAAATCAATGAACGATGCGCAGCTCTTGGCCATGGCCAGGCATTTCACAGCCAACAGCCAAGAGCGAAGAGCGAAGAGCCAAGAGATTGGCCCAAATGGACTTGAATATGGAAATGGCTATGGAAATGGCGAGTCATCAATGTGACGCATCAGCAGACAGACTCAGACTCAGACTCAGACCGAGTCTCAGACCGAGTCTCAGACTCAGCCGCAGCCGCAGCTCGTTGCGGGCCAGTCGCCGGGGCGTGTTTTGTTTGACTTGACCGAAAGGTGGCAAACCGAATGACAATTGTGTACTTGGGGCTAGGTTGTTGTCGGCATTTATATTGTTGTTGTTATTATAGCCATTTGGCTCGACTCGACTGTCCGTCCCTCAGAGCTAATGAGCAAAAGTGGGTCACTGTGAAGGCTCTGTGCGGCGGCTTACCGATATTTCCAGTCCATTTTGCTTTTGTGCAAATAGAGCGACAGCAGCGGCACATCCGATATTTCCGTCTCCTGTCCGCCGGCCTCCAGCAGCAGCACCTTCCAGTGCGGCACCTCCGACAGGCGGGAGGCCAGCACCGTGCCCGCCGAGCCGCCGCCAATGATTATGAAATCATAGGCCAGCTCCACCTGCGGCACATTAAAGGGCCGATTTTCGGGATCGAACAGATCGTAATTATAGTATGCTATCGCGGCGATTAGAAATGGTAAAATTGTCAGTTTGCCGACGCCGACAACGGCGGTTGTCAGTTTAATGGCGCTGGCTATGCCCAGGCCCAGTTTTGAGGCGCCCACGGCTGCCACGCCCGCTGCGGCAGCCGCCTTCGAGGCGGCGCTTGCCTTGAAGAGCAGCCCGCCCACCGAAACGGCGGCGGCGCCCAGGGCAGGCACAACAACCATATTGACAGATAAATATCACACGCGGACTCTCCTGCTCCCACTCGCACTCGCCCTCTCTCTCGCTCTCTCAATTCTTGAGCTGCGCTTTGATAGCTATATCCTTAAACGCTGCTCGCGTCGTTCGCGTCGCTCCTTTGTCTTTGCGCTAGCACTCAGCACATCTTTTATTCAATTTCTTCTTTCTTTTATCCAAGAATTCGATTTGCACGCTTTCATTCACAATCACAAATCACGAGTCACGTTCACCAATCAACAATTGTTGTTATTGTGCACTTTCATTTGGGCATCGAAAGAAAATACAACAACAACAAAAAAGTATTGTTTCTTTTCTTTTTTTTTTGAAAAATAAATAAACAAAAGTGCGAGTCGCGTTGCATTCCTCGTCGCGTTCGAGGCGTATCAAAGAAAAAAATTGGTTTTTTTTCCCAAAAAAAAAAAAAAATTTCTAAAAAAAAGGCAACCGACTTGTTTGGCAGCCGCTGCGTTTCTGAGCCACAAACGCAACTCGTGTGCGACGTTTTGTCTGCTTCGCATTTCTTGTTGCAAGCCCGTTTAAGCGGCCGCCGCAGCTGAAGCTCAGGCCGAGACGGTTGCGCATGCGCTCGCCCTGCGCAGCTCAGCTCAGCTGAGGAGCTCTGTCTGCGACTCGTCGCTCTGCAGCTGAGCTGAGCTGCGCTGCGCCGAGCTGAGCTGCGCTGCGCCGAGCTGGAGCGGAGCGCGTGACACGAGCCAAGCCACACGAAATGGCTGCGAGCATCAAAGGGAAAAGAAGAAGAAGATAATTTATTATTTATCGACTAAGATATTGGACTGTATTTTTTTATTTATCTTCCTATATTTCTCTATCTATCTCTCTCTCTCTCTCTCTCCCATCTCTACGCCTCTCTCTTTCTTCTCTCTCTCTCTCTCTCTCTCTCTCTCTCTTTCTTCTCTCTCTCTTGCTTCTAACTCTTTTCCTTTCTTATCTCTTCTTTCTGCTGCTTTATGATCCAATACATACGAAAGCAGATTTTCTCGCAGTCTTTTAACAGCATTTGATCCTTAAATTCTGTTTTAAACGTTTTACAGGCTGCCGTATTCTGTTAATCAAACGATTACTATGAAAAAAATATAACATAAGTTTTCCAAATACCAAAGCTAAATATATCCTTATAAATAGTGTTCAACTGATTTTTTTTGACAAATCTCAATTTAAAACTAAACTCACTCGAGGTACTTCTCCTAACTTTGCGATTAGATATATTTATAAAATGACAGAAGCTTTTCTTCATGAAAGGTATTTCTGAAAATTGTCAGTAGAATTGTATGAAATACAGAAACCTGCCAAATTTATTTAATTTGAACTATATTATGTTTATTGTTTCCCGATTTCAAACAATTTTCAATAATAGACTTTTAAAGCCCCATTTAACAATGACACAGATACTAACTAATCTAAATAATAGTTGCTGTACATATGTAATCAATAAGAATTTCTTCTTATACAATAACAATATTAATATACGCGCTAAATATTTCAAAAAGCTTTTAAAATAGCTGATATATATTAATGTGGTTATTCATAAATAAATCTCTATATATATCGTAGTGTTGATAAGCGATTTAACACGCGCTCCTCTCTAATCTACAAACACACTAACACACAGACAGAGCGCAATGTGAGAGCGGAGCGGAGCAGAGCAGAGCAGCGCGTTCCAGCTTGTTGACTCCTTTTCGGCTGCTGTTGCTGCTGCTGCTGCGGGAGCTGTTGCGAAACGGTTGAGTACACGTACATGTACTTGTGCTCGCTATCATGGCGAGCGCATAACCGTTTGCGAACCGTTTGGCAACCGATTGGCGCTCCTGTCGCAGCGCTCTCCGGCAGCTCAATTCGCCTGCCGATTGGCATATTTTCTTTTTGGGGTTTTCTTTTTGACTCTTTCGCATCTTGCTTTACTTCACTCGCTTCTCTTTTTATTTCACTTAACCAAACGACCTTCATGCTCACTTAACAGTTATGTGCACTTAGCGGACGATTGCCGGCTAGTGTGTGCGAGTGTGTGGGGTGTATGTGTGAGTGTGTCGGGTGTGTGTGTGCGCTCACGTAAGCGAGCGGAGATAAGGAACTGAATTAATGTCGTCATCTCTTCAGTCGGCGGCGGATGCAAAAATTGTATCAGAAGAATTGCTTAAAATTGTTTTAAACAAAAACCCGTTCGAGAAGTTAGCCGCAATTGCCAAAATGATTGGAATAACCCGCAGGAAAACAATAATTTTGGTGTGTGCCAATCAATTGGATTCAATGGAACGAATGAATTGAATGATCTTTAATCATATATAATGATATGTATTTTCTTTACATGTTCGTTCATGTTTCAAGTATCTCTAATCCTCGTTCACTAACGGAGCGTGTTGCTGTTAAAGTGACGATTTTGCTGTTAAAGCGCATATAACAGAACAACAATTACTCAGCTCTCAATAATAAGCATTTTGATATAGTTTTGACTATGTTACGAGAGGTATCAACTTTTCTATTCGTTCATGTTATATATCGAAGCATACACTACCTAAACGTTTATACATATGTAAAGCGATCAAATCTGTGAAAATCAGGATAACAGAGCAGCTTGCTAACTGCTTCTGTTAAATTGACGCTGTTGGAGCTCAAATAAATACTCGACAGTAAATGCGTGTAATGCATAAGATTGGGTGGAGTATTGAGCTTATGTTCGAATTTGGAAACACATTGAAATATTCATAAGAATACAAGCAGAATAATGCTGAAATATCATAATAAACATATGCAAAAAGCTATCAAAGAATCGGTACTAAAATTAATTAAAACTGTTAATATGTTCCATATTTCTTATAATCATAATATCAATATCAATAAAGATATCAAAGAATTGGTGCTCAAATGAATTAAAAATGAATTACTTCTTTCTAAATATCAATAAACCGTTGCCTAAATTAATTAAAATGTTTAATATGTTTATTACTTTTATTAATAATAATACACAAAAAGATATCAAAGAAATATTTACATGAGCTTCATAACATAACAAGCAGTTCTTGTTCTTCTCCAGAGCAACTGTTAAGCTCGCTTCGTTACTGTTAGCATAACAGCGCATCTGTACGGCTGTTAAGCATAACAGGCGTATGTTATGAACACTCGCTGGCATTTAAAGCGTGGGTTTCTCAATTAGAATCTCATTCAGTTGACTTCAGATTCGTTTCGGTTCTTCAGCCTAAACGAATAATAGAAAACGTAGCGCAGCATACTTTTAAAAAACGGTACTCTCCCACCTGTCTAGAGCTTAACAGCGCGCACATGTCTCAATCAAGTGCTCGAATGTCATCGAATTCCATTACGCAAGCGAATCAAACGAGTGGGGGGCACTCCAGTGAGTAGGCTCCTCCGTGCTTGCCCTCAAAGAGCCGCCGCCGCCTAAAGAAGAAGAAGAAGAAGGAGAAGAGACGAGACAAAATGTAATGACCGCAAATTAACAGAGCGACAATAAAAAGCGCGAGACGACGCCAGGTCGATATGCGATGGGATTGTTTTTCTACATAGCTGTTGATATGGCTAATGTCACAAGGTCAGACGACAATCGGGCTTGGTTTTTGTTTTTGTTATTTTTAGGCATTTTCTTTGCTCTGCGTGACTTTTCCATGCGAAAATGTGTCAGTTCCGCTGGGGAAAAACGCTTTGCCCGAGCGCCGTTAAACAAAAAAAAAAACATGAAACGTCACTAACCAAATAAAGTTGACAGCTTGTAGAGCTTGGCCATGCGCTGAGAGGGCCCTTCAATGGGATGTGAAGTCGTTTATTGCCATCCAAGAATGGTCAAGGGCTGAGAAGTGGGGCATTTATGACTCGATGTCATTGAGGAATGTGCAGGGCATGAGGCACTTATGGCCGGGGGCAATCTCTAGAGTTGTGCAACAAGCTCTCGTGCTGCTCCCATAAAAGCAAATGTATTGCACTGAGGCTTACGAAATTTGGTATGCGTTAATTGTTAACTCTTTTCTAACTATGTTTCAAATTTCACAAGTCTTGAGCTATAAATAGTCGAGTTACTGAAGTTTGAAAATTATTGCCTGGCCTTCATTCTAACTTATGCCTTATTGGGACAACAGATGGCGCTGTTTGACACGGCTTTAAAATGTCTATTATGAAGATATCAACTTTTTTATAGTATATCAACTCTTCCATTTCCACACTCGCACTTATGACTGTAAACTGTTCTCTAACTATCTGCTGAGTTTCATGAATATATAATATATATCGAGTCTTTCAATTAGGAGAAAATCTCTCTCTTCCATTTAGTCGCATGCAATGGCATCAGATGCCGCCGCTAGGCAATTGTTTAGCTCAACATTTAACATTTTCATAACGAGATGATAAATAGTTGGGAAATAGTTGGGTGGCTAAGTGACCCACTATAAACCACTTCCGCTACAATTACGGGCGGCACATAATAAAGCGCACACAAATTTCCGGTACTTACGGCTCGTTTTCTATTTAGCTCTTTGTCACTTTCCCAATCAACACCGAAATTTACTCAAAAGCAATTAAAAGTGAAATGCAAAAACACTCGCAAGACGCACAATGATTATGGTATGCGAATCGAAGAAGAAGCAGCAGTTGTTGTAGGCAATCCGGTTGACATAACGTACGCCGATATATATATACACATATATATGGATATGTATATAAACTTGTACAAAAGATTTTGAATTGATTGACGGACTGACTTTTGCATGGGAAGTGAGCTAAGATAGAGTTTTGGATAGTTCAAACTCCACGTGAAGAAAAACTACGTAGGAAAAACGAAAAACGAGCGTCGAACTAACAAGCGTGAGATCGCAGGTTCAAATCCAGCATTAAACATTCATTTTTAGATATATTCTATAAAGTTTGCCGTTATTCACAAAGAAAATAGCAATGAGATCGAAAATATTTCAGCTATATGTAAAATTTTTGATTATCATTAATATTTTAAATATTAATATTATACTTAAACAGATAATCATTTTTATTTTATCAACTAAAATATTGACATATGTATTTCGACTGAAACAACAAATTTGGTTATCAATTCCATGTTTTTTATTAATATGATCTGGGCAACGCCGGGTAATTACTGCAATACATATTTCTATTAGCTGGCACGAGGCAATTGAATGAATGAATCGAATATGAACTTTATTAAATGACAAGCAATTTGTTGGAGCAAACATAAAGCGGCAAGTGCGACATGCAATTGTATCTGAAACTCTGCAAATGTATCTGTAGCTCGAACTGTATCCATGCATTTGTAACTGTCAATATATGTATATATATATATATATATATATATATAGTATAATATATAAGTGCGCACGGCTGAGAGCAACCACAAAGCCAAACGGAGCGTGGCATATTGCACGAGCACTACGTGACCTATTCCCAAAACTTACAAGCGAACCACAGCAACCGCAACACTCGGATGTTACTTCCCAGATACAGATACATATATGTATGTAGTACTCGCATGTGGGTTACCACACACGCGCACACGCGCACACGCACACACCTGTGGCAACAGGTAGCTCTTGGCTGACATCTCTCATCTAATCTGTTGCCTAAATGCCTGCAAATGAATTTGTGCCCGTCATCGTTGCCCCGCTCACTCGTAATTCATTGTCAAATCTGCGTAACGCATCTCTCATGGATCTCATTGCGTACTAACCGACTTGATTTCGTATTACCAACCCGGCCAAACAGCTTAGGTCCGTTATGTGTGCGCCAATTGCCCAACTCTATCCTCTCTCTGGCCTGGCCATAGAGCGTGCACTATTTGGAACTAGTTCATTTCATATCCCATTGATAACGTCCCTGTTATTATCGAGAATTTACTCACGAGAAACTTAAGAGATATATGAGATATACTTTGGAGAGCTAAGTTGAAGTACGTTGGTTTTACGATTCTGAAATGGAAAGTCATGCATTTGAAGACCCTGCACTTACTCTCTTCTAATCTATCGTTGCCAGACTGTTGCCTAACATTTACTACTGCCAATTTGTTGCGTTGCCAGATTAAGAAAATAGAGGTAGCCTACATTGTGTAATTGTATCTAATATCTGATTAATGTTAGGATTCTGTAGAATTGCAACTTCTTATTCCTTTCTAATCTCTTGTTGCCAGATTGTTGATATTCTTCTGCTAGTTTCAGCGTTGCCAGATTGAAGTAGCCATTTTTAAATTGAAAATAACATTTAAATTAGATATTGATAGGCAGCTGCAGAGAATTACAACTTCAAGGGGAACGAACACCTGCTCTCTTATGTTTCGTTGCCAGATTGTTGCCTAACAGTGACTTCTGCCAATTTTCGCGTTGCCAGCATGGGAAAGTAGTCTTCTTGAAAATTAAAACTACATTATCAATTATTGTTGGGTTACTGTAGAAGTGCAACTTCTTACGCTCTTCTAATCTCTTGCTGCCATATTTTTGATTTGCTTCTTCTGAAACATTCCGTCAGTTTCAGCGTTGCCAGCTTGTTGACTTTTGCATTGAGCAGGAAGACGCAGCCTTCTTAAACATGAAATTCAATTTAATATAATTATAATTTTATTGCTTTTATCCGCCTACTCTTTAAGTCTTTATGCCAATTTTAGCGTTGCCAGGTTGTTAATTTACGATATATTTATTTAATTGTACAAACTATTTTGTATGATCAGTGATTGTAGGTAGGTAGGTAAATGGGCTGCCTTGTCTTATACTCATACTCAATTTAATTTCGATTTATTCCTGATCATAGAACCATATTATTTACCCACGGAACTCTTTTACTAGCTGAGCTAGTCTTGTCAAATTTGGTACGGTAGCTCGATTGAAATTGAATCATTATTGAATTTGAATCTCAAGCCAACTACCCGGCAAAGTAGCAGAAACAACAAAATTAAATAGCTGCTAGTTCCCAATTGAAGCCCCCTCGCTGCGTGGAGGCACTTGTGTGATCCATCAATTAATTGCCATCGGTTTGTACGCCGCGTTGTGAGGCGCCAAGTGGTATTCGCGGCATAACAATGAGCCAAAAATTTGAAGCTATTAATTGTTGGGGGAAAAGTGAAAGCTATCCATCACAATTGGCAAAAGCAATGCACCCGACCCCGACCCAGACCCACTCAACAAAAGAGCATTACATAAGCTCATGTGGTTTTTTTCATTTATTTTAAATATTTATAGCAAATATATAAATTTGGCGCTGGAAGACGAACTACTGGTGGCAGTCGAATCTACAGGCCTGAGTAGAGCTTTGTGCTGCAGTTGCTGCGACGACGTCAAGTGAAAAATTATTATAAATATTTATAATAGGCGCCAACTGAAAGAAGAGATGGAAGATTGTAGGAGACAGAGAAAGATGAAGATTTTAAGAGAAAGAGTGGGGTAGGGAATGAAAGAGAGGTAGATTGCCAGAGGATTAATCTAAATAATCTGTGAGAACTTTCACTTGAATTCATGAGAATCGCATAGAAAGGCACTCACCTGTGCGCATCAGTTGCAGAGACATCTCTGCCCCCAACTAACGATATATTATATAAAATTTTATATAAAAATTCTGAAAATAGAGAATCTGGAATTATTTTAGATTAAATTTAAAAACTAACATTATGCACTTACCTCGTGTCCATTGTTCCCAATATCAACAAGTATTCCCATCGCGTTCGATTTTTAAAGGGGGGTAGGGGACTGATCTTGTGATTCTTTGGGGGGAGGGGTGGGTGGGGTTGGGGTTGTTTCTAATGTGTGTGTGTGTGTGTGTGTGGAGTGTTGTGTGTTGTGCGTGTATTGTGTGTATTTCCTGGCTTCCTAGTTCTTTATACAATTGTTGCTGTTTGTTATCGTTCTCTCGTTCGATTATTTATTTATGTACAAGTTGCAGAGAGTCTGTTGCTATTGTTGTAACCAATGAAGAACAACGTGATGTGTTATATATATATATAATATCTGTAACGGTTATATATATATATGTATATATATATATATAACCGAGAGCAAACACAAGGGATCTTCTCCTCGGACCTTGCTCCCCTGCTTTGTCAATTGGAATTGTATATATGTATATATTGATCGGAATATCATCTATCGCAACAATTCGATTTAAGCATTTGTTTAAAATCCTGTGTGTTTTTTGCATTCTAATTGGAAACGAAGCACACACAAGTTGAGGCTCGGACCATGCTTCAGTTTCTTGTGTATGAAACGACATTTGAACTGAAGGAATTTGCTTTGAGCAATAAAATCGATATATTTTAATAATTTAACTACTCACAGTTAATCCACTACTTTTGGGTCAGCGTTGTATAAAAAATTATTAAATGTATATATATGTATATGAATGTATATATATCGGCAGCCTCCTGGCCTCTAATCTGAATCAACATTAAATATATAAAGAATCATGCAGAAGAGCAATTTGAGGCTAAGCTCCAACTGGGTTTCATATTGCGTGTGTGTTGTCTTCTTTCGGCTTTTGTTTGATTTCAAATTTGTATGTTAACTAGCGGAGCAAACACAAGGAACCCGTCTTCCTCGGACCTTGCTCCACATCCAATCAATGTTGCCATTATTATTTATGGGGGCAATCTTCTTGCATATGCCATTTGAGGCCAATGCCAATAAGGCCCATCTTGCAATGGGCCAACTGCAAATATATTAATATTTTTGTACAAGCTAAATATATACATTTTATTATTATTATATTCATTTGAAACAAAATCTGATCAAAGGTCCCGACATCGATTTTATATATTTTCAATTTGGAGGCATATTAAATCTTTAAAATGTACAAATTGCTTTTAGAGGATCATGAGCCTTTCAATGCAGCGCTGGGCTCTTGAAACTATTTTTTGGGCTACTGTAGAATGAAGCATTCTGTTGAAAAGGGAAGGAAGCATATTCACATATTTACATACGCTCTTACAGAAGGTACTATCTTAATTATATATCATGTCCAGCAAAGCAAACGCCTCCCAACCCATACAATATAAATATATATATATATCTATATTCTAAATCACAATCAATAGTCGGATAAAGCCATGTCTTGCTGAATTTATTGAAAGTGTATAATGTATGGAACAGGCAGAAGAAAGCATCTCCGACCCCATAACTTATATACATTCTTGATCAGAATTATTGATCTATACGTTTGCATGTGTGTGTGTGTGTGTGTGTGTGTGTGTGTGTGTGTGTATGGCTATCTTCTAGCTCAGTTTTTCCTACAGCTTGCTTGCACTTACCTTGGCGTTGTTAAAAGTAAATCCCATTTGCATTTTCAATAAATTGTTTCCAGCAACGTTAAAACTTGCAAGGCCAGCAAAAAATCTCTTTGACTGTGTCTTTCGTGTTTGTGTTTACGTGTTTTATCACGTGTTCTTGGTAACCAAATAAAACAACAAAAAGAAAAAACAAACTACATGTCCAAAACTTTCAACTCTGGTACTTCTCCTTCTACCGACACTTTTGTATAACCAAATCTGATCAAAGGGCCCGCAACTGATTGCAAATCGATGTCCATTTTTACATTTCAAATTTTGAAGCACAACGAATTTCGTTCAATTTTAGATGTTAGCACTACAAAACTCAGAAGGTGAATGAGCTCCTTATAATGCTGTGCCGGACTCCTCAATCGGGCACTGACAATTTCCGTCTCGTTGCCTGCTTTGATACAAGAAAACTGGGTCAATATGTAGGCAGAGTGCTTACCCATTACGCAGGCCTACTGCGGTGCAATAAAAGTTATTTGAGCTTTTCGAAGAATTAAATCCCACTCAGTTTTGCAAAGAGTTCTGAGAGCCACTGCGCTGCGCCAAGAGCTCAATTCGAGCCTTCAAGCCGGTAGCCTACGTGCTTTAGTGTGGGTTTGAGGGTCACTTCTCTTACCAAGAGCGCTCGTCGTGGTTTCACAGTCACTGTATAAAATGCGCTTTCCATTGAGTTCTGTGCGATTAGCTCGCTAAGCTATGAGAGCAACTGTGCTTTGAGCATGCATCATGTTTTAGAAGCCACTGCGCTCTTTGTATACTGAGTCCGATTGAGCGCCTAATGCAATACACATAAATTAAGCGTAGCTTTCAACCACCAAGGTTTTGCGGCCACTGCATATTGGCTTTCGTACCATGCAAAGCCTTCAAACCATGTGCAAACTCATGCAATTGCGGTTTGAGACTCACTGCGCGAAGCGCTCAAAGTGCCAAGCGAGCCAATGTGAGAAGCACTGTACAACAATTTAAGAAAACTTTGAGAGCCACTGCGCCAAGCTATGCACTTACTCAAAGAGCTAAGCAAACACAATTTGCCTTTAGCGCAGCTTTAAACCGCACAGTGCTAAAGTTTTGTGGGCACTGAGCAAATACAACTGCAAATGTTTTCGAAGCTTGCTTTATTATCTAACTACAAAATATTAAAAAAAAAAAAACAAAAAAATGGAAAAAGATAGATCGTATAAATGATTAAAGTGCGTGCTGCAGCTACCTCAACCGAGCAGAGCTCGGAGGCTGATTCACGGCAGACGGCAAACGGCAAATTAAAGCTCCGTGTGCTGACTGGCAGCACCCAGGTAATCCTCCTTGATCATGTCGGCACCCTTCTCACCGATCATAATGATAGCGGCATTTGTATTCGCGCCGACAATATCGGGCATAATGCTAGCGTCGATCACACGTAGTCCGCTGGCGCCATGGACTCGGAGCCGGGCATCGACGACGGACGTGGGATCGGTGGCGGGTCCCATGCGGGCCGTGCCCACCGGATGGTAGACGGTGGTGGTCATGTGGCGTATATAACAGCGCCAATAGTCGTCCGACTGATAGGCCAGACCATTGCAGGCCTCCAGATCGACCTGGTGCAGCTTCGCCTCACGCTCGCCAAAGGCACGCGTCTCGGGCAGACGCTTGTAGATGTTCAGGGCGCGTATATAGGTATCCACATCCCGTTCATCGGTCATATAGCCCGGATCGATGAGTGGCGCGTCGAGAAAGTCGGCGCTCTGCAGTTCCAGGCGGCCGGCGGAGAAGGGTTTCAGGTGCAGCAGATATGTGATATACGTGTTGGACTTCTCGTTGGCAGACAGAATGCTCTTGGCGACGCGCTCATTGAACCCGGTGGCGGCCACATAGCCACGCAGCTCCGGACTCTGCATTAGGCTGAAGAAATTCGTTGTCTGTATGTCCGGATTGGGGCCATGCAGCGAGGTGGTATTGATGAAGCCCGTCAGGGCAGTCGCCTCATGATGCAGCAGCTTGCTGTAGCGACCCATCAGCAGATTGTACATGGCATCCACCAGCTCCTCTTCGGTGGGCTTACGTGCCGTTGACTTATCGATCTGGAAGATAACGGGCAGGCTGGCGTGATCCTTCAGATTGTGACCGACGGGCAGATCTAGCTTGACGGGCACGCCAACGCTTCTCAGATGCTCAGCGGGTCCAATGCCTGCCGAAAGTTTGGGGAACATTATTATTATTTTGAGGGTTATAATCAAGGATTTTAGAGGCAGAAAGGGGGAGGGGTGGAAAGGATTGAAAGAGATATTGTAGAAACTTTTCACCTTACTAGCCTCGCTTTTAGTATGAGCCTCTTTATCGTCATGTGCTTAAAATTCCCAATTTGTTAAGACCTGAACCTTACCAGACTGTTTAGTTCTGTAAAGAACTAAGCGCTGCGAAACTAGCTGAACATCCTAGAAAGGATCCAGACTTATGAAAAACTAAGATGGATACGGAATTCGTTAAAATATATTCCAGAACAAGGAAGCTGATGACCTTCACAAATAAGGATAGTTTGTTACACATTGGAATAGATAGCAACTGGATGATAATCGAGGACTAATCTAACGTCCTAAGCTCTAAGGAAGACCAATCCTTTCTCAAGGAAATATGCACGCATTTAAATGGCCGCTTGGTTCTCTGAGTATTTTGATAGAAAGTATTGGAATGTGTCTAACAGAGCAAGCACTACGAATGTAGAAAGGTATCTCTGAGTCGGATGGTCTTCCTTGGAATAAACCCCATCTATTAGAAAATCTTTAGTTACTCAAGTTATTTTCTTGGGGCTTTCAAAAACCTACAACTATCGGATAAGCTTATCGCGGCCATAAAAGCCTCTAACTATTCATTCATTAGATTTCTATTATTATTTCTTTTTGACTATCTTATCGGGTTTATGCGATTCGGGCAAAGATTAAAGAGAGCAGCGATTAGTTGGGGGTACGCAGTTTGACATTGGGAAACCTTGGGAAACCTTGGGCTACCTTGGAATACCTTGGAATAGCTTGCTTGGCTTGGCCTGCACCTACCTGAGAGCATGAGGATCTGTGGGCTGCCAATGGCGCCGGCCGAGAGGATTATCTCCTTGCTGGCCCGCACCGTGTACTCCTTGCCACCGCGATGGACAAAGGTGACGCTCTCGGCCCTCCGTTGGTCGTCCAGATTCAGACGCTTGACGTGGGCGTGTCGCACAATATGCAAATTGGGCGCATCCTTGGGCAGATGGGAGCGCGCGGTGGTGATGCGACGACCACCGTCCTGGGTGCCCAATATATCCATCTGGCCGACAAAGGAGCCCTCGGTAAAGTCCGGCGCACTGCCATAGCCCATCTCCAGCATGCCCGCCCGTATGGTCGTGCGGAACTCATTGTCCGAGACATAGTTGTTCAGTCCCATGGGTCCGCCGACGCCATGATCGCCGGGCTTGTAGTCCGGTCGGGTGGAGCGCAAATCCTCGGCCTTGCGGAAATGCTTGAGCACCTCGTCATAGCCCCAGCGGGGATTGCCCCTCTGCTCCCAGTCATCGAAATCGGTGCGTGTGCCGCGCGCATAGATCATCGCGTTCATCCCGTTGGTGCCGCCAAGCATTTTGCCGCGCGGCCAGTGACAGCTCTCGCCCAGCATGGCCATGCAGGCGCGCCCGTTCGGCTGCGTATGGTACTGCCAGTCCCATTTCGAGAACTGTGTGGCCATGTGCCAGGCAACGAATTCCGTCTCAATCGGCGGATCACCGCCCGCCTCCAGCAGCAGGATGCGCCAATTGGCCTGCTCCGCCAGCCGGCCGGCGACCACAGAGCCCGCACTTCCCGCACCGATGACAACGAAATCGTATGGCTCCTCAAAGCCGCCCGCCTGCTCCAGCCAATCGCCGCGATCCGCCGGCCACTGTTGCTGTCCGCTCAGATCACAGAATTTGGCAATTAGCGTGTGCAGCAGCAGCGACATCAGCGTATTTGCCGGGCCCGCCGATCTGGCCGCGCACTCGGCGCTCAGAAACTCCATATTCGTTCCAAATATGTTTCCAAATAGAATTCTCCGGCGTTCTGCCCACTGGCGCTGTCCGTGCGCTACTGTTCACCGGCCGTGGCCGGCACCCGGCATTTGTACGCTCTCCGGCCGCCGGCTGGCATTCGCATGCCGCACGCGTCGCCGTAAATCACCTGCGCCATTTGCATTGCAAATAGACCACAAATGCGTATCTAATATATATATATAGTTATGTAGTTATGTGTGTGTGTGTTTATACCACAGCGAGCTCTGCCGGACGCGCCTTTATCACTGCCACACAGAGATTAGATGTGACATTCGAGAGCGGGTGCAGCCAGAGCTAAGGCGAAGCCGCAGCTACGACTGCAAAATACTAAACGACCACCTCCGACTGGAGGTTGCCCCTGATAAGCGCCGGTGGGGTGGCCCATTGTTTTTTACGATCCCACTTCACCTGCCAGTCCATCTATCCATCCATCCATCCATTCGTCCATCCGTCCATAGCTGTCGTGCTGCCTCTTTATCTCTCTCTCCCTCTCTCTTTTGCGCTCTCGCTTTTGATAAGCCGCCAGCGCTGACTCCGATAAGCCAAAAACACAAAATCCACTTGCTGGGCATTTCGGTATCTTGATGCGCTACTTTGCGCCCACGAGCCGGACGGTGCCACGCCCCCGGGCCAGGCATAAACACAACCCAACCCACATTTGTGCGCGTTGGGCACACTGCCAAAAAAACTGCGCAGTCTAGCGAGGGGTTGGGCTCACACTCCCTCTCCTTTTCTCTCTCTCATACGATAGCCTACTAAAGCTCTTTCCTTGTCTCACATCTATTCTCTTTTCTCGTTTTTCTCTTCCATTTCTTCCCACCCGCTCTCTATATCTTTCTCTTTCTGTTTCTCTCATTGTTCTCTCCCCCTCTCGATCCCTCCCGCTTTCTCTTTCGCTCTCTCTATTTCTTTCTCCCTTTTACTCTCTCTCTCTCTATCTCTCTCTGTCTCCCCCTGTATCACTAGCTCTCTCTTCCTCTCTCGCTGTCTCTCATTTACGCACTTTCAAACATTTTCTCTATCCTTATTTATCTCCCTCTAGTTTTCTCCGTCTTGCGTTTGATCCTTCTATCTTTATTTCTTTGTCTCTCTCTTAGTTTCTCCCTTTCTCCGATTTTCTCCCTTCTCTCATGTTCCCTCGCATTCTCTAAGCTTCTCTCTTCGTCTTTAATTGTCTCTCTTTCTCTGCTGACCTATATCTAGTAAGATATTTTGTCCTTGATCGACTACGCGATACCCTGTTGCCCGCTTCATCAGCCCAACAAATAACGGATATTTGTTCGAATCTGCCCGAACACAAGATATCCTCTAATCAGATCTTAGACATTGGCCCGCCCGCTGTTTTGGGCCTGTGCTTCTGTCTTCCAGGCCCGCTTTATGGAAAACTGGTTCCTCAATCATTTCTGGTTTTATTGTCGCATCGATGTTAGCTTCTCAGAGCATCAAGAATGTAGTCGAATGTGTGCCAAAAATCCAGCTAGAGCTCTAAAAATTCATTTATGTTTTATTTAATTTGATTTTGTTTGCATTTTGCGGAGCGCAGAGTAAACTATTAAGAATTTAAATATTTCTTGAATGTTTACTATGTCGCTGCAAGACTACATGAACGTGAGTATTTATTTTGGGAATGGCCGACCAGCAGATACCCTGAACCTGACGCCGAGCTGACGTTACAAGCATTCTAGCTTTCTTCCATACGTATGTACATCTGCTTCTGCTTTCTCTTTCTTTGGTTAACTTCGGTGCTTAAGGTCCGATCTTTATGACGATTTCAGGGCTTAAATATGGCACATAAAAAGCTCTGCCTTTAAGAATGAATGGGTAAAGGTATTCAAATAGGTTTATATATTGATAAACTCATGCTGAGTTTGGTCTACGAGAATATACATTACATGTTTCAGATCGTCATCTTGATCAAGAATATATATATATATATATATATATTTATATATGATTGATGGGTTTAGCGATGTTACATACAGGTGCACATAACCAATATACCCGCTCTGCTCACTTTCAATCGAGTTTGGACTGTAAAATTGTTGTGTTTAGCTCGTTTGATCGCCGAATTATGATAGAGCAAAATCTGGTTTGCTGATCGCTTTATTTATATACGTATAATATAAGAGAATCTACATTCTAAATTTGGCGTCTCCAGCTCTTATTTTGGTGGTCGGACGCACTTGACGAGGCAGGGCTGCAAATCGAAAAACAATATCAGCAATTCGGTTGTGGGTTGCAAACAACTTCCTGATTCAGTACGGATATTTTTAAGGCAACTTGAGTAGTTGTTCGCTTTGTCAATTTGTTTTGATAAAGTTTCTGCACTTGCATTTCAATCCATCCAATTGCGATGTCACAAAGCAATACATAAGGCGTAATAATGCATTCTGATGGTTCAAGAGCTTGTGAACTCTGCCGGGAACTATTTTATTAATTCAATGGCCACACAGAATGCCTAATAGAATCACAGATATGTGCCATATTTGACTCGGCTGTTGAAAAAACGCACTCCAGATGCACTACGCAATAAATTAAGCTAATCGATCTCAAAGTGGCTGAAGTTTGAGAAAGAATTTAACTCGGACTTTAACCGTGATGGAAAAAAAAATGTTTCATTCCAGCAATTTTGCCACCACTGCCAAAAATGCGGATTCCGAACTCTCATGGCTAAGACGGTCCGTTCTCAATCAGTCAGTCAGTCAATCAGTTAATCATAAACAGAAGGAGCGTAATATAGGGACTTAGACTTAGATCTCTGTCAATCAGTCAGTCAATCATATGCTTATTCAGAGAGTCTGACAAGCACTCAGACTAAGATAAGGAAATGGGTCTTTAAGTTCCCTCGGCGTAGACAGTGGGGGCTCTGTCAATCAGTTAGTGAATCAGTCAGTCAAACAATCAGTTAATCATATCCTTATTCAGAGCGTGTGATGAGGTCTTTCAAGTTACCACGGCTCAGACGGTGGGGGGTTCTGTCAATCAGTTAGTCTATCAATCAGTCAATCATATGCAAAATAAGAGCGTTTATTATGGCCTCAGACTTAGATGTTTCTAAATTATATGAAAATTGTCTTTTCTAGTGTCCACTTTTTGGTTTTGAGTTCTCTGTCAATCAATCAGACAATTAATTCTTTAACATTACCCAAATTCAGGGTGTATAATAGAGATGATGTAAATCTTTAAAATGATGTAGAAACCGTTCTACCAATTTCCCACTGCCTAGACGGTGGATGCTCTGTCAATCGGCCAGTCAATCAATCAATCACATGGAATCTCAGAGCGTAATAAAAGGTCTCTGATTAAGAGCCTGAAACATGATATCGATACCGTTTTATTGTAAAACAAAGTTATTTCGTTTCTTTTACCATTTTCCACCAATTTTTCACCGTTGCGGGTGGAATTCTTCAAAACTCCGACATAATACGCACTTTCATCACATAACTGACACAGTGTGAACCATTCAGCCTCCTAGTTGCCACGGTTTCGGTAGTGGGTCAATCAGTCAGTCAGTCAGTCAATCAATCAAAATATAAAAAAAAACATAATTCATGGTTTTTCCGATATAAATACATAGCTTTTATATTAATTAAATGTAGAAAAAAAAGGGGAAGAAATGCTGTTATCAGTTATCAGCCAGGTCAGCCCCTACAGGGCATCGTCGTGCATATGCAGGCCCTTCGGCTGCACTGGCTCCGCCCAGTCCTGGGCTATAAAGTCGGCGACCCGTTCACCGATCATCACCGTGGCGGCATTCGTGTTGGCGCTGACCACATTGGGCATAATGCTGGCATCGGCCACACGCAGATTGGACACGCCGCGCAGCTGTAGCCGTGGATTGACACAGGCAGCGGGATCCGTGTCGGGGCCCATCTTGAGGGTGCCCACCTGATGGTAGCAGGTGACGGTGAAGTACTTCGCATAGCACCGCCAATACGCATCGCTGCCGAACCTGTGCGCTCCGTCGCACTCCTCGATAGGCACGTGCACCAGCTGGGCGTGGCGCTGCCTGTATGCCGCCGTCTGCGTCATGCTCTCCTGATGGTGAATGCCGCGCAGCAGAGTTGCCAGATCGGCCGGCTTGTCCAGGTAGTTGCTGAACAGCTGCGGCGGCTGCTTGTAGTCGGCGCTCTGCAGCCGCAGGTGACCCGACGATTCCGGCTGCGAGAGCTGCACAAAGATGCAGAGCAGATGGGATCGGGTCAGCTGGCCCTGCAGATGCTCTATGTAGCGCTCCTGGATGGCAAGTCCGTTGAGGAACAAGGCCAGCGAGTCGTGGCGGCCGCGCTGAAAGTACAAATGATGGAACTCCAGGTCCGGATAGCGTGGATCGCTGCTGCTGTTCGCCGTATTGATGAGCCCGACCAGGGAGGCGGTGCTGTGGGTGGCCAGCGGACCGGTGCGATGCATCAGGTACGTATAGATGCTGTCCAATATCTCCTGATGGTTGGCGGCCTGGGCTACGCCCTCGTCGAGCTGCATGAACAGCGGCACCAGGACATGATCCTGCAGATTGTGGCCCACGCCGGGCAGCTCGTGCTGCACAGCCAGCTGCAGTTGCTCCAGCTGGTCGCGTGGCCCGATGCCCGAGCGCAGCAACAGCGCCGGCGAATCAATGGCGCCCGCCGACAGCACCGCCTCCTTGGCCACGGCCACGCGATAGGTGCGCTCGCCACGGACAAAGCTGACCGCCTCCAGGCGTTCGCCGGTCGCATCGAAATGCAGCTGATTCACCTGCGCCCGCTTCACCACATGCAGATTGGGTCGCTCCGCGATCCGACTGAGATGCCCCTTCGCCGTGGAGATGCGCCGACCACGCTGCACGGTGCCCGGCACCGAGGTATAGCCCACATAGCTGCCCTCGGCGAATTGGGCGACGCTGGGCACGCCCAGCTCCTGGCCGCCGGCGCGTATCATGGCCTGTATGTCCTCGTCCTGCAGCTCAAAGGGATTCAGCGTCATGTAGCCCTGCGGGTGGGTCGCATTGCCCACCGGACGCACCGAGCGCTCAAAATATGGCAGCACCTCGTCATAGCTCCA